CAATTGTTGTGATACTACGCATGACGTCCTCCGCCCCAGAACGATTCCGCCGTTCCGGTTTTGGGGTGTGACAGATCTTGATAAATATTAAACAAGTAAGGAAGGTGTAGAGTGCACACTTGTTTAAGTTTATTCAAGATTAAAAGTAGACTGTCATTTAGGGGCGAAGCCCCTGAACGAACGGGGGTCCAGGGGCAGCGCCCCTGGGAGCGGGGTCCAAGGGGCAGAGCCCCTGGCTGGGATCGAGCTGTATTGAAAATGCATCAGAAATCCAAATTTAGAATATTTGACCCATTTTTTTTGGCTTGGTATTAATCCTTATAGAAAACCCGGATTTATGACAGTTTTTTTGACTGTTGCCAAACTGTTTTATGACAGTTTTCAGACAAAGGAGGTATTTAACCAATTTTGGTCAGTTTTTCTGGTACTTACGAAATTCATATATCTCATTCTCTGTTCTTTTCTCTTCTGAGTCTTATCCAATCAAAGATTAGGGAGTACCACCCAATACTTTGATTTGATAGTGAAATCACAATTCTTAGAATTTCCAAGGCTATTATTATCCCGATTTTCTAACATGTATTTGGTGTTAAATTATCGTCTATGTCATTATCAACTATTGTTATGCAATATATAAGTATTTTACATGTTTTTTTTCCTATAGATAAACTCCAACCATTCATGCACATGTTAATAAGAAAATGCCATCTTAGTACAAAATACGAAAACAAACCTACACTTATAGAAATATACATTACATTCTTAGAAGAAATATGTTATAACGTTGAATTTAAATTATTTACAATATATACACACGCAAAAAACAAAATATGTTACAAAACTCTTACCTACTTTCCGTTTAATTAGATAAATGTAATTACAAACCAAAAATGAACAAACCGTTTGATCCGATAGACGATACACTCCTATAATTTTATTGAAACCATAACTACTATAAGCTAGCATAGGAACTATTACTACAATTACAAAACAAGTCACTGCATCATCTAACTAGTGACCAATGCAATTTGTAAAAACCTATTACAAAAACAATGACACACACAGAAGCCTACATGTCTCCACGTCAATAACCAAAACCAAACTCAGATTTTACATTACTATATAAGAACCCCAACCTCCAAACTTCATACACAGAGGAAGATACAAAAAACCAAAAAAATGAACAATCAAGCCCTTCAAGACGTTCTCCTGTCACTCATTGCTTACCTCCGAGAGGTAGGCGATCTCATAGAAGCAACTCAAACCAAACTTTAAGAAAGCTTCACAGTGGAAGACGACTCTTACAACATCATCTCCACACAACAAGAACACTTAAATTATTATAAGATCCTAAAAACCATCATTGAAGACGCCAAAGCTGACGACCTCTCCATGAAAGACAATACATCCTTCATGCTTGGATCAATCCACAAAGGATTGAAAAATATAAATGTATCATCAAATATGCGTCTCATGAGTAGAAAAAATACCTATTATAATGACTTCCATATCAATATATGAATAAATAAAATGTCAATCTTAAGTTCCTTTTGCAAATAGTCAAATGCATATCCAATCACTACAAAAATGGGTACTTCACTGGTTAATGATTATTTTTAGTTATTTCTTGGAAAATACTACAAAGTTTGGTCTATGCAATTTGTTATAAAAATCCTATTAAGTTTAATGGCTTTCAATAATACAAATAAATAATTACGAACGGGTAGATATACCTTTGAAAAAGACATTATATTCTTTATAAAACAATTCTAAACAAAATGTGTGTATATTTCCTTTCTTAGTCCCAAAGAAAAAGAAGAAAATTCATATCAAAGACCAAAAGAATTGGTCTTAGATTTGATTAAACAAACATCCAATCTCTCCATCGAGTAAATGGTTTTAAGATCTTATTGAACAAGCGGATGCTTCCCCAATTCTCAAGTCTTTCATAAACCAAAACCCATTTATAAGACCAGCTGTTGCTTTTCAAAGCAAGAAAAGAAAACCCTCCTCTCAACCCCTCTATCTTCTCTCAATTTCTTCACAACCCCATGATTAAGAATCTCATGGTTTGACTTTGCGTTTGCCCATCAATTATGGAGGAAGAATCATCATCATCAAGATCACTCCTCTTGGAGGATTTTGGTCAGAAGGTGGATCTTACCAGGAGAATCAGAGAAGTTTTGTTGAATTACCCTGAAGGGACTACGGTTCTAAAGGAACTGATACAGAATGCTGACGACGCCGGCGCCACCAAGGTCTGCCTTTGCTTAGACCGAAGGTCTCATCCCACCACCTCCCTCTTGTCCCCTAAACTCGCCCAGTGGCAAGGCCCTGCTTTGTTAGCGTATAACAATGCTGTCTTCACTGAAGACGATTTCGCTAGTATTTCCAGGATTGGTGGGAGTGGCAAGCAAAGTCAAGCTTGGAAGACTGGTCGTTTCGGGTGATTTTTCTATCCACAACTTTTACTACAACATCTCACTCTCTCTATATACATCATTCATGATTCATTATGTGTTTGTTGTGTTGTTTTGTTATCTGTTTAGGGTTGGCTTCAACTCAGTGTATCATCTGACTGATTTGCCATCTTTCGTCAGTGACAAATATGTAGTCCTGTTTGATCCTCAGGGTGATTTCCTTCCAAACATTTCAACATTAAATCCTGGAAAAAGAATCGATTATGTCACCTCATCAGCCATCTCTCGATACCAAGATCAGCTTTCTCCATTCTGTGCCTTCGGTTGCAACATGAAAACTTCTTTCCCTGGAACTATATTTCGTTTCCCTTTAAGAAATGAGTCTCAAGCAGCAAGTAGTAAGCTCTCAAAGCAAGCCTATTTGCCAGATGATATTTCTTCAATGTTTGAACAGCTATACGAGGAAGCAGTTTTCACACTTCTGTTCTTAAAGAGTGTAGTTTCTATTGAGATGTATGTATGGGATACTGGGATGTCTGAACCTAGAAAAACTTATTCATGTTCCATTAGATTGAAGGATAAAGATACGGTTTGGCATAGACAGACACTTCTGAGATTATCCAAGTCTATGAATTCTTCAGATGATAAAACTGATGGATTTTCTTTAGACTTCTTGAGTGAAGATATAAATGGAGACAAGAGGGTGGATACCTTTTACATAGTGCAGACAATGGCATCATCATCTAGTAGAATAGGTTCATTTGCTAAAAGTATGTCTAAAGATTATGACATTCATCTCCTACCTTGGGCAGCTGTAGCAGCTTGCATCTCAGACAATTCTTCCAGAGTATGTGTCTCTGTGTGTTTCTAACTATGTTTTTTTTTTCCTGGAATTTGATTTGTTTTAATCTTTTTTTATGTTTTACAGGGTGATGTTTTGAAAGATGGTCGTGCATTTTGTTTCCTGCCTTTACCTTTAAAAACTGGAATGACAGTGCAAATTAATGGATACTTTGAGGTGTCATCAAACAGACGTGGCATTTGGTATGGTGCTGACATGGACAGAAGTGGAAGAATCCGGTCTCTTTGGAACAGGCTTCTTCTAGAAGATGTTGTTGCTTCTTCTTTTGTTAAGTTACTGCTTCAAGTCCAACATATACTGGGTCCCACAAACTCGTATTATTCTTTATGGCCTATTGGTTCATTCGAGGAGCCATGGAGCATTATGGTGGAGCATATTTATAAAAACATTGGTGATTCACGTGTATTGCATTCAGATCTTAATGGTGGGAAATGGGTTTCAGTAATGGAAGCTTTTCTTCATGATAATGAGTTTTGTAAAAGTAATGAACTTGGTAAAGCTCTTGTACAGCTAGGATTGCCTATTGTTCATTTGCCTATTGCCTTGAGGGACATGCTTTTGAAATTTGCATCTAGTTTGAAAGTAGTCACTCCTGATTCAGTAAGGAATTTTTTAAGGAAATCGAAAGGTGTTAATAAAATAAGCAGAGATTTGAAGCTAGTGTTGTTGGAGTATTGTCTTGAAGACTTGATTGATGATGATGTTGTTACACATGCATATGATCTACCTTTGGTTCCTTTAGCAAGTGGTGAATTCGGGTCATTTTCTGAAAAAGGTGTATCTTATTTTGTCTGCAATGAATTGGAATACAAGCTCTTACAAAAGATACCAGATAGAGTAATCGATCAAAATATACCTGAAAACATACTAACCAGACTTGCATCAATTGCTAAGATCCCTTCAGCAAACATACTTCTTTTTGATGTTAATTCCTTTCTCCAGTTATTCCCCAAAATCATCCCTGCTGATTGGAAATACAAAACTTCAGTTTCCTGGGATCCAGAATCAAACCCTAATCATCCTAGCTCAACATGGTTTCATCTATTCTGGAAGTACCTTCATGGCAACTGTGAAAGCCTTTTGACTTTTGGTGATTGGCCTATTTTGCCCTCGGTTTCTGGTCATCTTTACAGACCATCAAGACAGGTGAAGCTGTTGAATGTGGATAAGTTGTCTGACAAGATGAAGGGTATACTCGGTAAAGTGGGGTGCAGGATTCTTAACAGCAGCCATGGTGTTGACCACCCTGATTTGGTCAACTATGTACGTGAAGCTGATGGTGATGGTGTCTTGAAGTCAATCTTTGATGTTGTCTCTTCAAATGATGACATTAAACAGCTTTTTCTTCAAACCCTAGAAGCTGTAGACAGGGACGAGCTTCGTCATTTTTTTCTTGACCCAAAATGGTATATTGGGAACAATATGTCTGATACTGAAAGAAGGGCATGTATGAGACTTCCAATCTTTATGGTGTTTAGTGAGGAAGAAAACTATAGCTACTCTGGATTAGAAGAACAAAAGTTTTTACCTCCATCTGATTGTCACAAGTCCTTACTCTGTAATGACTTTGTTAAAAGTTCATCTGGCATTGAAGATGAAATCTTGAATAAATACTATGGGATTGAGCGAATGGGGAAGGCTATATTTTATAAACGATACGTTTTCAATAAGGTTAAAGAATTGGCACCCGAGTTTCGTGACATCATCATGATGTCAGTTTTACAGGAGTTACCACATTTATCCACTGAGGATCCAACAATTAAAGGGCATTTAGCAAATCTTGAATTTGTTCCAACTGCTAGTGGTTCTTTGAAATGTCCAACAGTGCTTTATGATCCTAGGAATGAAGAATTATACGCTTTGTTGGAAGATTCTGATTGTTTTCCACATGGTGTTTTTGAGGAATCTGGAATTCTAGACAAGCTACAAGGTTTGGGTTTGAAAACATCTGTGTCTCCTGAAGCTGTCATACAAAGTGCACGCCAGGTGGAATTGTTGATGCAGAGTGATCAACAAAGGGCTCATTCTAGAGGAAAAGTTCTTCTTTCTTATCTTGAAGTAAACGCATTAAAATGGTCACCTGATGTTTCTGATCAAGGAACAATGAACAGGATGTTTTCACGAGCTGCAAGTGCATTTAGATCAAGAAATCTAAAATCTGATTTGGAGAAGTTCTGGATTGATCTAAGACTGATTTCATGGTGTCCTGTTCTTGTTTCATCTCCATTTGAATCATTACCATGGCCAATAGTGTCATCCATGGTTGCACCTCCAAAACTTGTGAGACTTTTTTCAGATCTATGGCTTGTTTCAGCAAGTATGAGGATATTAGATGGAGAATGTTCTTCAACTTCATTATCTCATTACCTCGGGTGGTCATCTCCTCCTTCAGGAAGTGTCATTGCTGCACAGCTTCTAGAACTTGGAAAAAACAATGAAACTGTAACAGATCCTGTTCTTCGCCAAGAATTGGCTTTAGCAATGCCTAGGATATACGCGATTTTAATGAACATGTTGAATACAGATGAAATGGATATTGTGAAGGCTGTTCTAGAAGGTTCTAGATGGATTTGGGTAGGTGATGGATTTGCAACACCAGAAGAAGTTGTGATCTCTGGTTCTCTTCATTTGGCTCCTTATCTACGTGTCATACCTGTTGATTTAGCAGTTTTCAAAGCTTTATTTCTAGAGCTTGGGATTCGGGAGTTTTTAAAGCCGAAAGATTATGCTCAGATTTTGGGGAGAATGGCTAGAATTAAAGGCTCAACTCCTTTAAATTCACAGGAGCTTCGTGCAGCTTTACTAATCTCACAACATCTGGCTGAAGTTCAGTTGTATGAAGAACAAATCAAGATCTTTTTACCAGATGTTTCGTGTTTCTTGGTTGATGCCACTGATTTGGTATACAATGATGCTCCATGGTTGATTGGTTCAGAAAACGAGACCTCATTTGGAAATCCATCAATGGCACTGAATATGAAAAGAACTGTTCATAAATTTGTGCATGGAAATATCTCGAATGATGTTGCAGAAAAGCTCGGTGTTCATTCACTTAGGCGTATGTTGCTTGCTGAAAGTGCTGATTCGATGAATTTGAGTTTATCTGGAGCTGCTGAAGCATTTGGTCAACATGAAGCTTTGACCACCAGACTTAAACATATTCTTGAAATGTATGCAGATGGGCCTGGAACTCTGTTTGAGCTAGTGCAAAATGCAGAAGATGCAAAAGCTTCTGAGGTGGCGTTTCTTTTGGACAACACACATTATGGGACTTCTTCTGTTCTTTCACCCGAAATGTCAGACTGGCAAGGGCCCGCTTTGTATTGTTTCAATGATTCGGTTTTCAGCCCACAAGATTTGTATGCAATATCAAGAATTGGTCAAGAAAGTAAACTGGAAAAACCATTTGCAATTGGAAGATTTGGTTTAGGGTTTAATTGTGTTTATCACTTCACTGACATTCCCACTTTTGTATCCGGGGAGAATATTGTCCTTTTTGATCCTCATGCATGTCACTTACCTGGAATATCTCCTTCACATCCGGGATTAAGAATTAAATTTTCCGGAAGGAAAATATTGGAACAATTTCCTGATCAATTTTCTCCATTTCTTCATTTCGGATGTGACATGCAGAACTCATTTCCTGGAACACTCTTTCGGTTTCCATTAAGAAATGCTAAAGCTGCTTCAAAGAGTCAAATTAAAAAAGAAGCATACTCGCCTCAAGATGTTACATCACTATTGACATCTTTCTCAGAAGTTGTCTCGAAGACATTGCTTTTTTTGAGAAACGTGAAGACTATCTCCATATATATGAAAGAAGGAGTTGGTAGTGAGATGCAGTTAGTTCATAGAGTCCATAAGGATAGTATTGGTGAACCCGAACGTGAAGCTGAAGCTAACACATTTCAGCTTATGGTTAATTTCATGCATGAACATAAAGAAGGGTCAGAGAAGAATCATTTTTTTGATAAATTGAAAAGACCGAATGACACGGGGTTGCCTTGGAAAAGTCAGAAGCTTTTGTTGACCGAGAAAAGTCAATCTGAAGAAAAGTCAAATGTATGGTTGACTAGTGAATGCTTCGATGGTCGCCAAAGTAAAAGAAACAACAAATCTCATAAGTCTATTCCATGGGCTTGTGTGGCATCATGTTTGAACAATATGGAAGTTGAAAAGAATTTTGAAGGGCAGGCGTTTTGTTTTTTACCACTTCCAATAAATACAGGTCTTCCTGTTCATGTGAATGCATATTTTGAACTATCATCTAATCGAAGGGATATATGGTTTGGGAATGACATGGCAGGTGGAGGGAAAAAACGTTCAGATTGGAATCTTTATCTTCTAGAAGAAGTTGCAGCTCCAGCTTATGGTCACTTACTCGAAAAACTCACATCAGAAATCAACAATTCTGATTTGTTCCATTCCTTTTGGCCAACAACAGCAACATCAGGACCTTGGGTGTCAATGGTGGAAAAGCTTTACAAATTTGTTTCCGATTCCGGCCTTCGTGTGTTGTACACTAAAGCAAGAGGTGGTCAATGGATTCCAACCAAACAAGCCATTTTCCCTGATTTTACCTTTGACAAGTCAAACTTTCTTGTTGATGCATTATCCAATGCGGGATTACCCATGACAACAATTCCTAAACCTCATGTGGAAAAATTCATGGAGTTTTGTCCGACTCTGCATTTTCTGACTCCTCAGTTGCTAAGAACTTTGTTAGTTCGCCGGAAACGTGAATTCCGGGATAGGAATGGAATGATCTTGGCACTTGAGTATTGTTTGCTTGATCTAACAACCCCGATTCAATCTGAGAACTTTTATGGTTTGCCACTTTTGCCCCTCTCAAATGGTTTGTTTACAGTGTTTGAAAAGAGAGGATCGAGTGATAGAGTTTATGTCACACGTGGAGATGCTTATAATCTTTTGAAAGATTCTGTTTCAAACCACCTTGTGGATTCTGAGATTCCGGATGCTGTTTATGAAAAGTTATGTGATATGGCAAGAAGTGAAAGTTTCAATGTTTCGTTTCTGAGTTGTCATTTGCTTGAGAAGTTGTTTATGAGGTTACTTCCAACAGAATGGATGCACATGAAGGAGGTGATGTGGGTCCCTGGGCATCAAGGGCAACCTACTTTGGAATGGATGAGGTTGTTATGGGATTACCTAAATTCAAATTGTGATGATCTTTCTGTGTTTTGTAAATGGCCGATTTTACCAGTTGGAAACAATCATCTGTTACAACTTGTGGAGAATTCATATGTGATTGAAGATGATGGGTGGAGTGAGAACATGTCATCATTGTTGCTCAAAATAGGGTGTCTGTTATTGAGACATGACATTCAATTAGAACACCCACAGTTGAACAAATACGTGCAGTCTCCATCAGCAAGTGGTGTTCTAAATGCATTATCAGCAATTTGTGAACCAGGGAAAATAGGTGATCTTTTTGATAATGCATCAGAGGGCGAGCTGCATGAGTTTAGAAGTTTCATTCTTCAATCCAAATGGTTCTCTGGTGGCTTACTTAATGCATCACATATCAACATCATCAAACAGATTCCAATGTTTGAGTCCTTCAAGAGTAGAAAGCTGGTTTCTTTAACTAAACCTACTAAATGGCTTAAACCAGATGGCATTCTAGAAGGTCTTTTGGATGATGACTTTATTCGCATTGATTCAGAGAAAGAAAGAAAGTTATTGAAAAAGTATTTAGACATCAGAGAACCTTCTCGAGTCCAATTTTATAAAGGCTATGTGTTCAATCGCATTCCAGAACTTGTCTCTGAGCCTGGGATTCTCTTGGCTATTTTTGATGAAATTCGTGTTTTGATTAAGGAAGATAGCTCCTTCAAGAAAGAACTTATGATGTCTCCCTTTGTCCTTACCAATACTGGATCTTTGCTAGAACCACAAAGGTATATTCTAAATACATTTCTGTTATATATATATATATATATATATATATATATATATAATACAGTTTAGTGTTTGATTCTAGTGTAAAGATGATTTATCTTCAATCTTTTACAGGCTATATGATCCTCGTATACCCGAGCTAGAAAAATTTCTGCACAAGGATTTGTTCTTCCCTTCTGACAAATTCTCTGATCCTGAAACTTTGGAGATGCTGGTTACCCTTGGACTAAAGCAAACCCTAGGCATCCAGGGTTTGCTTGATTCTGCTAAATCGGTGTCTATGTTGCATGATAAAATGGAACCAGAGGCTGTTGTAAATGGAAAGAGACTACTTGGTTGTTTAGATGCATTGGCACTCAAGTTTTCAACTGAGGAAGTGGAATTCAGTTTTAATGAGTTTGGGCCAGATGATGAAGCAGATAACTACTCAAGAAACACTCCTGAGGCGTTTCATGAAGATTATGTAGGCAAGCTGTTCGATGAAATGCCAGGAGACAAGTTTTGGTCTGAACTAAAAGCCATCAGATGGTGTCCTGTTTCTGTTGACCCACCTTTGACCGGACTTCCATGGTTAGTGCCAGCTCAGCAAATTGCAGCTCCGGATACTGTCAGACCTAAATCACAGATGTGGCTCGCTTCATCCATGATGCATGTACTTGATGGTGAATGTAACTCAATGTTTTTACAACGTAAGCTTGGGTGGACAGATCGGTTACATATAAAAACTTTGACCAGTCAACTCATTGGTCTATCCAAATCCTATGCTGAAGTTAAGTCAGACCCTGAATTTGAAGCTTCTCTACAAGAGCATATGCCAGTTCTTTACTCAAATCTGCAAGAATATGTTGGCACTGATGAGTTTGACCTTCTTAAAGCTTCTCTCAATAATGTTCCATGGGTTTGGATTGGAGATGATTTTGTAACTGTTGAAGCTCTTGCTTTTGATTCACCTGTAAAATACAGTCCATACTTGTATGTTGTCCCATCTGAATTATCTGTTTTCAGAGATTTGCTTCTTGCTCTTGGAGTCCGGCTTTCTTTTGACCTTTTTGACTATGCTCATGTTCTACTTCGGTTACAAAAAGATGTGAAAGGGTCACCACTTTCAGAAGATCAGTTGAGTTTTGTCCTTTGTGTTCTAGAAGCTGTTTCAGATTGTCAATCAGAGAGATCAATGTTTGAATCTTCCAACACTCCATTGTTGGTGCCTGATTCTCGAGGGGTTCTCATGGCTGCAAGGGATGTGATGTATAATGATGCACCTTGGTTGGACAATAATACCCCTCTGGGAAAACATATCATACACTCGAGTATCAGTCATGATCTGGCTAACAGGCTAGGGATTCAATCCCTTCGTTCCATCTCTTTAGTCAGTGAGGAAATGACAAAAGATTTACCCTGTATGGACTATGCAAAAATCCATGATCTTCTTGAATTATATGGAGGGAAAGATTTCTTGTTATATGATCTTATTGAGCTTGCAGACTGCTGTAAAGCCAAAAAGCTTCATATAATTTTTGACAAACGCCAACATCCATCACAGTCATTGCTGCAACAAAATTTAGGTACAAAGTTATCAGACTATTTACTTTTACTTTATAGGCTATTGAATTTAAAAAATTTAAAATAATTGTTTTACAGGAGATTTTCAAGGGCCTGCCATTGTTGCTGTACTGGAAGGGGCAAGTTTGAGCAGAGAGGAAATATCTAGCCTCCAGTTTCTTCCTCCATGGGGTTTAAGGGGTGATATGCTTAATTATGGATTAGGGTTAATGAGCTGTTATTCTATAACTGATCTTCCTTCAGTTGTCTCTGGTGGCTTTTTATATATGTTTGATCCTTGTGGTAAAGCTTTTACTCTACCTTCATCAAGTCATTCTCCAGCTGCAAAGATGTTTACTTTGACAGGTATATATTAGTAATAATTCCGTTATCTTTCTGTTAATCAGGTTAGTATTCTGTTATGATTCTGTTAATTACAGGTACCAATTTGACTGAGCGATTCCGTGATCAGTTTAGTCCCATGTTTATTGGTCAAAAGGTTCCATGGTCATCAGACTCTACAGTTATACGAATGCCTATTTCATCAAAGTTCATTGAAGATGGAACTGAGTCTGAGTGGACAGAAATAAAACTGATATTTGAAAATTTCATTAAGCATGCCTCTAGAACACTTGTATTTCTGAAGTCTGTTTCTGAGGTAACAAGAACTTATATTTCAGACATCTAGTTATTGCTTATAAAATTTAACATTTTCTTTGAATCAGGTGTCCTTATCAACATGGGAAGAAAAGGAACCACAATCTTCACAAGATTTTTTAATCTATGTGGACTCATCACATGCAGCATTAAGGAATCCATTTTCAGAAAAGAAATGGAAGAAGTTCCAGCTATCAAATTTATTTGGTACCTCAAGTTCTGCAGTCAAATTACATGTTGTAGACATAAATTTGCATCAAAATGGAACAATGGTGGTGGACAGGTGGCTTGTTGTACTTAGCTTAGGTTCTGGACAAACAAGAAACATGGCTCTTGATAGGCGATACCTAGCTTATAATCTGACACCTGTCGCTGGAGTAGCTATACACATATTAAGAAACGGACATCTTTCTGAAGCACAATCATTTTACTCCATCATGTCCCCTCTCCCTCTCTCTGATAGCATCACTATGCCTGTAACTGTCCTAGGTTGTTTCCTAGTACGCCACAACCGAGGTCGTTACCTTTTCATGTATCAAGATTCAGAATCTTTGGTAAAATCACAACCAGATGCAGGGAATCAGCTGATTGAAGCCTGGAATCGGGAACTTATGACATGCGTCCGTGATTCCTATGTTAGATTAGTGTTGGAAATGTTTAAAATAAGAAGAGATCCATCCACTTCAACATTGGAATCAAGAGCAACACACGCGATTCACATGGCATTGAACGCATGTGGCACTCAGATATATTCGTTTTGGCCTACTTCTATTGACACTGAAGATGCAAATGGGACAAAGTCAAAAACCCTAAAAGCTGACTGGACTTGTGTGGTTGACCAAGTCATCAGACCGTTTTACTCTCGCCTTGTTGACCTTCCTGTTTGGCAGCTTTATTCTGGGAATTTAGTCAAAGCTGAAGAGGGGATGTTTCTTTCACAGCCTGGAAGTCGAATGGGTGGAAACATATTACCTGCAACTGTTTGCTCTTTTGTAAAAGAACATCATCCGGTTTTTTCAGTCCCATGGAAACTCGTGTCTGAAATTCAAGCAATCGGGTTCAACATACGAGAAATCAAACCGAAAATGGTTCGTGATCTTCTTAGAATGTCTTCAACACCAATTGCAATACCATCAATCGATACTTACGTGGATGTTCTTGAGTATTGTTTGTCAGATATTCAGCTTCTTGACCCATCTGAGGATCCGGATAACAATTCAGGACCCGGACTGGGTCCGGGCCCATCGGGTTCTACTTCACCTAACCCAGGTGACCCGATAGAAACACTCGCGAGTTTAGGAAAGGCTTTGTTTGATTTCGGACGTGGGGTTGTTGAAGACATGGGTCGGGGAAACGAAAGGTACAACACGGGCTTGGGCCTTGGTGGGCCCACTAGAGGCCCGGTGGATCGTAGGTTTGTAAAAGTAGCATCTGAGCTTAAAGGGTTACCATGTCCTACTGCAATAAGTCATCTTTCTAAATTGGGGGTAACCGAGCTTTGGGTTGGAAACAAACAGCAGCAATCGTTAATGGCCCGTTTGGGTTCGAAATTTGTTCATCCGAATATTTTGGAAAGACCGATTTTGGCCCAAATCTTTACAAATGATAATTTATTATCGTTACTTAACCTGAAAATCTTTTCGCCTCGTTTGCTAGCTGATAACATGAGGTCACTTTTTCATGAAAATTGGGTGAATCATGTTATCAACTCGAGTGTAGCTCCTTGGTTTTCATGGGAAAATACCCGTGAAGGTGGGCCATCTCCTGATTGGACAAAACTCTTTTGGAGAAGTTTTAGTAATTCGCAAGATCTACCTCTCTTCTCTCAATGGCCACTAGTTCCTGTTTTTCTGGGTCGACCCGTTTTATGCCGGGTCAAACATTGTAATCTGGTATTCATCCCGCCCCAGTTACCCGATTCAGAATTGGAAAATCCGGGTCTTGAAGATGATGATGTGGCATGTTTGGATTCGTTGCCTGAAGAGATTCGGCCATATATGTTAGCATATAAAGTCACTGATAAAAAACACCCATGGTTGTACTCTTTGCTTAATCAATGCAACATCCCGATAGTTGACACTGCTTTCATGGAATTTGCTCCTCCACACAACTATTTTCCGGTGGCCGGAATCTCATTGGGCCAAGCCATAGCCGCCAAGCTTGTCGCCGGAAAAGCCGCTGGTTATCTCCCGGAGCTCACCTCCTTTCCACCTTCCGATTGCAACAACCTGTTCTCCCTTTTGGCTTCTGATTTTTCATCAAATGGATCCGAATACACACAACAAGATCTTGAAGTTCTTCGTGATCTACCGATTTACAAAACTGTTATTGGAACATACAGAAAGCTGAATATCCAGGAAACATGTATGATCGGATCAAATACGTTTCTCAAACCGTACAACGAACATTGCATGTGGTACAACTCGGAGTCTTTCGAGAGTGGATTGCTTCGAGCTCTTGGAGTATCCGAGTTGCAAGATAAACAGATATTGGTTAGATTCGGGTTACCCGGTTTTGAAGAGAAGCCTCATTCAGAACAGGAAGATATATTGATATATCTTTACATGAATTGGCAAGAACTCCAACAAGATTCTTTAGTCATTGAAGCCTTAAAAGAGACCAAATTTGTAAGAAGTGCTGATGAACAATCGGGAGATTTACACAAACCAAAAGACTTATTTGACCCCGGTGATTCGTTGCTAAAATCGGTTTTTTCCAGTGAGGTTCAGAAGTTTCCAGGGGAGAGATTTGTTTCAGATGGATGGCTTAATGTGTTAAGAAAAACCGGGCTTCAAAACGCAAGTGATCCGGATATTGTTCTAGAATGTGCTAGAAGAGTCGAGTTTCTTGGAGCTGAAAGTATGAAACCTTCTGGATTTGTTGATGATTTTGAGGAGGATTTTTCAGACACGAGAATGGAGGTTTCTTTAGAGATTTGGTCATTAGCTGAGACTCTAGTGAGTGCAATATTTGCTAATTTTGCTGTTCTTTATGGCAACAATTTCTGCAATACACTTGGAAAGATTGCATGCATTCCTGCAGAAAAAGGGTTCCCTTCTATAAGTGGAAAGAAAGGTGGTAAAAGAGTGTTGTGTTCTTACAGTGAAGCCCTTGTGTTGAAAGACTGGCCCCTTGGATGGAGTGTTGCTCCCATTCTTTCCAAACAAAGTGTGGTTCCACCAGAGTATGCGTGGGGATCTCTTCAGCTGAAAACTCCTCCTCCTTTTACTACAGTTTTAAAACACCTTCAGGTTATGAAACTTCTCTTTCTTTTTGATATTATAGGGTTTAATGGATTAAGATATTATTAATCAATCAAGCTAATGACGTAATGATGATATCATAACAGGCTATTGGAAGAAATTTTGGTGAAGACACTCTGGCTCATTGGCCTAATGAATCAGGTTTAATAACTGTTGAGGAAGCTTCTTTTGAGGTTTTTAAGTATCTTGACAAGATTTGGGGGACATTATCTTCCTCAGGTAATAAGTCATGCTCCATTAAGTCCATTAAGTCAAAAAGAAACAAGAGAATAACTTTATTATCTTTTCTTCTTGAATGTTGTCAGATTTATCAGAGTTGAAGCGAGTGGCATTCATTCCAGCTGCTAACGGGACCCGTTTAGTGACTTCAAGCTCTCTTTTTGCCCGTTTGACAATAAACCTTTCACCATTTGCATTTGAACTTCCTTCACGTTACCTCCCATTCGTGAAGATTCTAAAAGAACTTGGACTTCAAGACACATTATCAATCTCTTGTGCAATGGATCTTCTTTCAGATCTTCAAAAATCTTGTGGATATCAACGTCTGAATCCAAATGAACTCCGTGCAGTGATGGAAATACTACATTTCCTCTGTAATGAAACCATAGAGCTCCAGAAATCAGATAGATCTAAATGGGAATCAGAGCTGATTGTCCCTGATGATGGCTGCAGACTCGTTCATGCAAATTCATGCGTTTACATTGATCCATACGGGTCCCGGTATGTGAAGTATATCGATTCTTCAAGGCTTAGATTCGTTCACCATGATGTTTCAGAAAAGCTGTGTTTAGCATTCAGCATTCGAAAGCTTTCAGATGTTGTTGAAGAGGTAGTACTAAACTACTAAAAGTCTAAAACCAATCAAACTTTATCTTTTTTCTCTATTTTTTTTTTTTTTTTTTTTTTTTTTTTGTTTCT